ACCAGAACTGAACCAGGATGAAATCAGGTCTAAACCAGAACTGAACCAGGACTAAATGAGGTCTAAATCAGAACTGAACCAGGACAAAATTAGGTCTAAACCAGGACTAAATCAGAACTAAACCAGGTCTAAACCAGGACTAAACCAGCATTAAACCAGGACTAAATCAGGACTAAACCAGGTCTAAACCAGGACTAAACCAGAACTGAACCAGGACTAAACCAGGTTCTAAACCAGGACAAAACCGGGACTAAACCAGGACTACACTGGTCTCAGTTCTGTTCTCAATCCTAGTTTCTTCCAAGTCTCAGTTCTGGTCTCAGTCCTGGTCTGGTCCCGGTCTGGTTCCGCAATAATATATGCAATAAAATTCAAAATAGATATTATATAGACATTATAAGATTCAAAAAACCTTTAACATCATTAGTTGAAATTGTGTGTGTTAGAAATAGGAAACAAATGTAATGGGTAATTTCCCTCTTGTAATCTATGTGTAGTAAGTATTGTTATTAATCATAACTATTCATCATTTAAAGAGCATTACCCACACAATTATATGCACCAGTAACTTATAAAAACATCTATTTAAAACCCGAATAAAGAGCCCATGCATCATAATAAAGGCCTATCGTAGTTATTATTTATGAATCATAAAACCAAATGGTGTATGTTTCTATAATAACACTACATTTGTTCTTATTGTTTTCGTAGCACTGTGTATGTGATGGAAGGTTTTTCAGTGTGTTACCAAAACTTTAATCATGAGTGACAGTAAAAAAAAAAAAAAAAAAAAAAAAAACATAAACAAAGCAGAGGCAATCAAAATGTATTTGTTGTACCGTAAATTGAGCTGTCACTATACCAGATCTGACAAGCTGTGAGCACCAGCCTTAGATCTAGTCACTGGTTTAAAGAGTACTGAAAAATGAAGTAAAAGTACAGCTAGATGTGTAAGATACTGAAGTAGTAGTAGTTAGGGATGGGCATGATTAGTCGATTAATCGATAATTGATCATTAAGAATTTCATCGATTACGTTCATTTTAATCGACAAACCGAATGTAGGTTGCTGTGCGTAGCGTGACCAAACAGGGGTCCGTACATGTGTCTCTGCACTCAGAAGGAGCGAGACACAAACATTCGGTCAGTCTGCAGCGTACCGAAGTGCAAATGCGTATTTAACGATGACTTGTACAAGAAATTCCACCCTTTCCGTTCCGGTCGGGACAAGTGGGAGTCCATGTGCACAGTGTACAAAGCAGCACATATGTTTCAGTGTCCTGTGGGAAAAAGCTGGTGAGAGTCGCGCAATGTCGATGACGAGTCCCCACCTCCCTCCCCCCGTACGGTGTCCTGGTTTTGGACAAATGCAAATATGATCACATTAACCTGTATTCTAGTGTGTCATGTCTTTTAATCCTACAGAAGTTGAACCGCCTCAGCGACACAAGAGCTGTAGTTTTATCTTCGCTTAGTTTATGCAAATTAGCGATGTGGTTTTAAGTTTCGTTTCTGTGAGAGTTGCGCAAAACTGAATTAAACACATTATAATGTCAAACGGATTGATGTGGGTGTGAGTGTTAAAGGTTTATATGTCGTAAAGTTGAATTTATTTATGCAGATTAGTAGTGCAGATAGTAATAATAATGATGATAATTTTAATAAAAAAACGTTAATAATTAATCGATAATCGATCGTTAATTCTTCCGACGATCGATTAAGAAAATTTCATCGAATGCCCATCCCTAGAAGTAGTGCTGCCAAATGTGTACTTAAGTAAAAGTACACATGAAAAATTCTGACGCAAACCGTGATACAAAAACATTTTAAAACAGAGTTAAAGGAGCATTTCTCTGGTGGAGGGTCCATCAAATACTTTTCTCCACAGAGATGCTATTGTATTTTATTAAACCTTTCTATCTTCATGGAGACCAAACAAGACCAAGTTACAGGTCAGATCTGTGGAGAGGCGACCCGTTCACAGTCTGTATACCTGTTTTTCTAGGTATTTTTGAGCTATAAAACCACATGTAATTGAGCAAATGTAAGGTAGATCTGTTTAATGTCATACTGTGGAACATTCCAGGCAGAGCAGTGACATTTCCATAGAAACAAGAAGGTGATGGACCCCAACCCACCTTTAAGTAAAAGTACGTGTGAAAAATACAACCAAAAGTTTCTTCTTCTCACAATTCTAATACAAAACCTGATGCAAAAACATTTTAAAGCTGAGTTACGTCGTTTGAAACCACAATTTGCATATTGTCTGAGCTCTGGCCAATCAGAGGAGGTGAGTTTGTCGGTTTAAAGAGGAGCAGAGACAGCTGTGGATTAGGATGACTGGACTAAAGCAGTACTGACAAACTCCTGTAATGTTTAAAGTTTGTAGCTAAATGCACTGACATGGCTAGAATTATAGTCAATTACAAGTAGAAGTACATGCTTAAAAAAGTACTAAAAACTGACCACACAACTGACCAAACATCTACTAACTTGCAGTAACATAAGTATTTCCAATTAGTTACTTTTTACCCAGGTTCAGCAAGTATTTCAAAATAAAACACATGTTCTAGTACTCAGAGCCACTCAGAGTACTCAATTACAGGTAGAGATACATGCTTAAAGGTGCACTATACAACTTCTCTGGTAGACAGTCCCCAGTGCTGCTTTGCCTGGAATGTTCCACAGTATGCTCTAAAATGGATCTATCTTACGTAATTACAGGTACTTTTATTGCTCAAAAATATCTTAAACTAGAAAAGCACTCAGAGAGCGCAGACCTCCGCCAAGGACTACCCCCATTTTTTATATAAATTGCGATAAAATCAGTCTTCTGGATCAGATCCGGATCAGCCTTTGGAATATGAAAGAGGATCCCATTGTCCATCCCTGAGTCAAATTTCATGGGGTTTGGTCAATGATTAACCGAGATATTGAGAAACAAAATTTTTGGCCCCATTTACCACAATGTTAACTAAAATTTCAAAGTGATCCAGAATCCAGGATTTCTTCCGGATCACCCCCAAAATGAAATCAGTTCTTCCTTTTCACATTTCCAACAAATCCTGAAAATTTCATCAACAATCGGTCCATAACTTTTTGAGTTATGTTGCTAACAGACAAACAAACACAAACAAACAAACAAAACAAACAGACAAACGCCGGCAAAAACATAACCTCCTTGGCGGAGGAAACAAGGAACATGTGTAACTAACATTATACAACATAAAACTATAACTTATACAGACCTAATAATATTGTTTTTGTTTTGTTTTTATTTATTAAACAGGGTCAGTGTACATGAATAAATATTGCTACTAATTTTATATATTGAAATAAAAATATGTATGTATATTAAATGATAATTATGTTTTGCTCGTAAAGTAGAGTTTTTTGTTTTTTTTTCAGTGTCTCATGTGTAACAAAGGAGCTCACTGGTCACCTTTGATTTACAATAAAATCTAATTTATCTCATATCAGAGTTTAGTGCTTCACTCACTCTGTAGAAATCATCAAAGTTTTTCAGTCTTTTTGTGTTTTTTTTTGTTGTTTTTTTTTACTCTTCTTTTTCTGATATGGACTGACAATGTGTGTCCCTGATTGGCTAATCCACCTGTCAATCACATCCGTCTGAAAACAGGGAGATTTCACCGCTGATCAGACTCACAACTTTGTAAAGTACTGGAGAAGTGTGGACTCTGAATCCCGGGCAAAATGATAAGAATATTTTCACAGTATAATAACAGTATAAAAAATGTATGATATAAACAAATAAAATAAAATAATTGAATAAATAACTTGTAAAATATTTCCTCTATATATTTTTACTCAACATACCAAAGAAGTCGTCATTTTTTTAATCATGACAACATCTATGTCAACAATACAAACAGTTAAAAACAGGATCTATGAACTTATTCCTCAAGTTAGTCCATTTATCTAAGTGAAAATTTCATCAAAATCGGTCCATAACTTTTTGAGTTATGTTGCTAACAGACAAACAAACAAACAAACAAACAGACAAACGCCGGCAAAAACATAACCTCCTTGGCGGAGGTAATTACCATATATTGCATTCTCATTGTCAGCATTGTCACCTCTCCACAGATCTGACCTGTAACTTGGCCTTGTAGCGTCACTTTCTTGTTTCTCTGGTAACTGATATGTTTAATGCTGTGGCGTAGAAAAATCCAGGAAGCAAGCAGTTAGCGGACCCTTCACCAGAAAAGTTACACAGTGCACCTTTAAAAATCTAGTTAGTTCGTTAGTAAGTTTATTTTCTTCGGTCAATTAACACAATCATACATCACATTAGAATGATTAAACACAAAAAAAAATATGTGTGTTATGCATATCACTAAAGTTATTCTACAGATCAGAGGGGTTTAGGCTGACATTTTATTACTATTAACATATAGAACAGGAGACAAGACAGCAGAAATATTACTTTTATGAGTGCAGGAAAGAATACGTACTTAATTCTTTTGGTACACACACATGCACAATAAAGACACACAATCTAATACATGTCGGTGTTCATATTCACATTTATAAACACACAGACACTTTGTATAATTGAGGGTTTTTAGTTCATCTGTAAGTTCCATGAGGTAAGATTTGTTGTATTTCTCTATATTTCTGTCTGTGTAAATTCTTTTAGAGCCTTTTAATGTTGTATCCAGACTGTTCCACAGATTAACACCTCTGATGAAGATGCATAGACTTTTTAGGCTGGTTTTCACGTTTGCTTTGGGAAAGAGGCCCGATCCTCTCAGATTGTACTCATTCTCTCTGGGTTTGAACATCTCTGGATACACTGAGAGAGTAGATTGTTATGTGCCTTAAGCATCACAATTGCAGTATTGAGATTAATGAGAGAAAAATGAACACACAATTGACCAAAATATCTACTAAATTATGTGTGTATGTGTATGAAATTAGTTACTTTGCACCTCTGGTTCTGCAAGTATTTGTAAGTAAAAAACAAGATCTAGTACTTACAGCCGATGAGCATGACGCAGATGGAAAAGATCTTCTCCGAGTTGGTGTTGGGGGACACATTTCCAAAGCCCACACTGGTCAGACTACTGAAGGTGAAGTACAGCGCCGTGACGTACTTGTCCTTGATGGAGGGTCCGGAGCTGGGGTCGCTGTAGTTGTACCTCTTGCCTATGGACACGCCCAGATTGTCCAGCCAGCCGATCTTGTGCTCCAGGTAGGGCTTCTCCACGTTGCCGATGGCGTACCAGATGCAGGCCAGCCAGTGCGCGATGAGAGCGAAGATGCACATGAGCAGCATAAGCACGGCCGCCCCGTACTCGGAGTAGCGGTCCAGCTTCCTGGCCACGCGCACCAATCGCAGCAGGCGCGCCGTCTTCAGCAGGCCAATCAGAGTCGTCGTCTGGACATAAGGGCAGAACAGCAGTTTAGAGAAGGGACGGAGAGAGGAAAAGCTTACAGTGCAGTATACGTCTCTTGCAGGTGTGGGCTATTTTAACACCTTATTTCATGCACTTTTATATTTGACCATAGTTTATTTATATTTTTATTACAGTTTTTCCACAGTATAGCATTCATTTATCTAATATCTCGTAGCCAAATGCCAGATCAGAGCTCACCCAAGAAAGAGAGATGTTTCAAGCAAGTTTTGAGAAATTTCTAAATTTGGTTAATGACAGGGCCATACGTGGCGAAATATCAGAATTGTGGCCATGTCAGGTTTTGGCCCCATACTGCATTCAAATGATAAAAAATGCTCTAATATGTACATCTGGGGTGGGGTGGTCTTAGGTTGTTTGGAGACGTTTCCAACAAGTTTTTAGCAATTTCAAAATTTGATCAAATTTGAGCTGAAATTACAGGCCCGGAATGGATGAAAAATCTAAATTTTTTTTGGCCATGTCAGGTTTAGGCCTCAAAATGCCTTCAAGTGACAAAAAGTGGTCTAATATGTACATCTGGCATGGTCTGAGATTGTTTGGAGACATTTCTGGCAAGTTTTGAGCAATTTTGAAATTTGGTCAAATTTGAGCCAAAACAACCGGACCAGACTGGCCTGATTCATCAGCAGTTTTCACTCCATAGAAAGCGTCTGACCTGGCAGCATTAGATTTTGTTCACTGGATGGTAGACGGGTACTTTTTTCATTTAACCAATTGCTGCTATTTGGTCATGATGTATGTAATGCGCTGCTAACGGGCCTAACAGGAATATTAAGCTTTTCCCAAATCCTGTAGGAACAAGGGCAAATGTTCTCTTTGTTCTGGCTTTAAATCCTCGATCTCAGGAATTGTTGCCAACACAGAATGTATTGTCTTTTCACTGATGGCTGGTGCCCGAACTCACACTTACAGGGTCTAGTGTATTCCATTTCCTGACCTAATCGCTGGAGAGAAATGAAATTGAGCAAAGGCACTAGGTGGCACCAGCCTAGCTAGGGCCAGACCTGTCGAAATACCATTTTTTTGCCAAAGCTGCCTTCAAATGACAAACAGTGCTCTTAATATGCTTAATATTTACATCTGGGGTTAGGTTGTTTGGCGATGTTTCCAGCAAGTTTTGAGCAATTTCTTGGTCAAATTTGGTCTATTAAATGACCTCTAATCAAATAATTAACTATATTATAAAAAATGACTCTTGTAAGATTTATAACATGCTTTATGAATGTTGTTACCTTCTCAAAAACAAACCTGGAGTTGTGGTTTGTTTCATTCATACGTTTGAGTAACTCTTTATTATTAGTCTGTGTACATCCCCAAAAGGCTAAATATGCAGCATTTGTGTTAAACATGTATGAACAAAACAAAACACAACTCCAGGTATAATTTTGATGAGGAAACATTATAAGGTAGATCAGAAAATAGTGTAATATGGGCCCTTAAATACATTTTAGATAGATATGTTTTGTCGTACTTTGGTACATTCTGAGCAAAGAAATCACATTTTCATGGAAACAGGCAGAGCATCCTCCACCAGAAAAGTTACACAGTGTAGAAGAGTTTAAAGTTTACAGAAATTCCCCATTATGAAAACTCTGAAAGTCAAAGTAAATATGCAAACAACTTTTATTGGTCCAAGAATTCCAGGAGAAACGTAATTATGTAAGGACTATATTTGTTTACAAAACTATTGCTCAAGACCCTGGCAAAAGAGGATCCCTGAAGGAAAAGACGCTATGGTAATTAGAAAACTCTTTTTATATGATCTAATTTAAGTTCTGCTCCTGCACCAATAGTTACAAAACACACTTCCAGCCTTGTACTTTTATAGCATTTTCTCACAAACTGTCACCGAACTAAATAAGCTTGACAATACAGGATCACTCAAATGTCAAAATTAATTTCCGTAGTATTTATTAACACTTTGCATGAATTGTTGTGAAATGAAATAATTTTGATGTCTGCAAGTCACTGATCAAAATCTATTTCAGATCGACTGGGGCTTTAATGAAACCAGTTTTTAGGTTAAAACCCTCTTATTAAGCCGCTAAATGAATGGGTCGCCTGAGAACCATCTGCCACTGTCTCGGCCGCACGGTTTTCCTCAATGAAAACACGTGCAACACTGGATTTACTCATGTCATAGTTTATGATGTTTTGTAATGATACAGCATGGAATATCTACAATGTTAAGGGTAATGGTGATGCTCATCAGCACGTGGTAAATAAAATGTAATGTGATTTATTCTGTCACCAGATATTTGATGAATATTAGGGAATTATTTTCATTCAGTTATAGTTGAATCGTCAGTAATTTATGTGAATGGCGAGAAATTTAAAGTCTCCTGGCCAACATAACCAACAGAAAAAAAAGTCTTCCACAGCAACTGATCAATGTGATATGATTTTGGAATGAAAGGTCATCTTGAAATGTGAATGTGATGCCATTTCTGAATGTGATCTAATTTCAGAACATGGTGTCATTTCGGAATGTGACATCTTTTTGGAATGTGATGTTATATCAGAATGTGACGTCTTTTCAGAATGTGATGTCATTTTGAAATGTGATGTAAATTCGGAATGTGATTTAAGTTCGGAATGCGATGTCATATCTGCATTTGATGTCATACCGGAATGTGATTTCACTGATCATTTTGTAATGTGATGTCTTTTTGTAATGTGATGTCATATCAGAATGTGATTACATTTTGGGATTTTATGTATTTTTGTGATGTTATGTCATTTTGGAATATGACGTCATTTCAGAACGTTATCTCTCATATTGAAATCTGATGTCATACTGGAATGTGATGTATTTTACTGGTCAATTTGGAATGTAATGCCATTTCAGAATGTGATGTGTTTATAGAATTTTATGTTAATTCAGAACATGAGGTCATTTTGGAATGTGGAGTTGTATCAGAATTGTAATGTAATTGGGATTTGTTGTCATTTTGAAAGGTAATGTCTTTTTGGGGTAAGATGTAATTTCAGAATATGACTTCATTTCAAAATGTGATATAATATCGAAATGTGATGTCATATCACACTGGAATGTGATTTCACTGGTCATTGTGGAATGTGATGTCATATCGGAATGTAATTTCAATTTGTCACGTGACGTCATTTTGGAATATGTTGTAATTTCAGAATATAATGTGCACTCTGAACAGAATCCTACTTTGTAAACTTATATGTCAAATCTAATCACAGCTGCAATTATTGTCAATTAGCAATCATGATTTTTACGGTTCGTATTTCAGTCTCCTCTTAAATTTTAAAGATATTTCTGAGCCTGAGATTAAATAAATGCTAGACAGACAAGTTTAATGCCATACCGTGGAACATTCCAGGCAATGCAATAACATCCCCATGGAAACAAGCAGGTGCCTGACCATCAATGGAAAAGTTACATAGTGCTCCTTTAATGTTCATAAACAGAATCCTATAAAAAACATAAATCAAAATGTTTATCATTAAAAACAAGTGATATTTATTATTTTTTTTGCTTTTTGTACGTCTGACAGCAGCGCTCAGAGGAAAAGATGATTATGGTCGATAATCAGGAGATTTTCTGGTGAAATGGGTTCTATTGGAACAATCCAACCCTGGCACCAAACCTACCCAATGCCCACCCACATCTGTAACCCCCCCTCACACACACACACACACACACACACACACTCCCATCCCCTCTGCTAGTACTACACACGCACAGAGACACACTGTTCTGTTGGCCTGCTCCTCACTGAAATGCATCATTGATTGTCATTTGGTAAGCCATTAATCCGTATAAATGGATTCAAGAATGAAAACCATAAAACCATTCAAAAAAAAGAGAAAGAAAAAAAAACATGCAATTTGAAGTAATCCGTTCAGGGCAGAGAGTGTAAGATTGGGGCTGTAAGTAGAGGCCTCGGGGCACAAGTCTGGCTTAGAGGGGATGGATAACAAGATGGCGACGGTCGGCAGCGATGTGGTCTAAAGCTTCCTGGGAAAAATGACAACACACGAGAAAGAGCCAAGCCAAAGATAAGCTGGGTCGGATACACATGTCACATTGTCTCGCTGCTTAGGCATAAGTGGTGCACAAAAAGGCTGATGGAAAAGCGACCTCCACCAAGGCATTTCAGTAAATACCACATACAGTTTGATCTTTTTGTCAGCAAACATTTATTGAAACTTAAATTTAAATGTATTTTTAGTGTATCTGTAATATAGTGTGAATTACTTTCTGTGTCAAATAAGTAAAGACAGACTGATATATTTTCACTTTTTAGAGTTTTGGTTACATAAAGCCTTACTGCACAAAACATAACGACTCTGCTTCCTTAAAGGTTTGCATTAAAACAGTTCTTGGTTAGCCTGATTCATCAGCCGGTTTCACTTCGTAGAAACTGTCTGACCTCGCAGCATTAGAATTCGTTCGCTCGACAGTAGGCGGGTACTTTTTTTTTTTTTAACCAATCACTGCTATTTGGTTGTGACATATATAATGTGCCACTAACGGGGTTAACTGGTATATTAAGCTTTTCCCAAATCCTGTAGGAAGAAGGGCAATAACGTCTTTCCCTTGATAAAATTCATCAAACATTCTCTTGGTTCCGGCTTTAAATCCTTGATCCTGGGAAGCGTTGCCAACACTGAATATATGGCTCTTTGCTGATTGGCTGGTGCCTGAACTCGCACTTCCAGGGTTTTTGCAAATCGTCTAGTGTATTCCGATTCCTGACCTAGTTGCTGGAGAGAAATGAAATTAAGTGGAGGCACTAGGTGGCACCAGCCTGGCTAGGGCTTGGTGGAATTTTATAGTAAATTTGGGGAAAATAGTCCAAATGTTACCCACGTGTTGGCTAAAAAATATCAGCAGAACTTATCAGCCATAAGTTTCTCTGGCTATGAAAAAAAATATATATATTGGTCGATCTCAACAAATAAGTACCAGTATATAAAAAAGTCACAATACGTATGTGTTTTGCCTTGACTAGATGTACGTGAACTTTTTATCTAAACTTTTTAAACAGAAAGACCTTTTGAGCAAATGCACAACACCATTTAATATGACAAGTCCAAGTAGTAACTTAAAGATGCATTGTGCAATTTTTCAGGTGAAGGGCCTGTCAAATATTTTTCTCCATAGAGATGTTATTACTTTGCCTGGAATGTTTCACAGTATGGCATTAGACCTGTGGTGGATACCTCTGCTGCCCCAGTGTTAGTTAGTACTATTTAATTTAATTTTATTTTATTTACATTAAGTTAATTACAGCACATAATTTATTTTTATTTAGACTTGCATTGTAATTTGGGTGCACACATTTAAGTCTGAATTATTTACTTACACTTGTTCTTTTTTGTTTGTTTGAGTGGCCGGACGGAGACCAGCCATGCCGAACAAAGGCTTGTAGCACTTTTTAGTTTGTTTTACTAAGTTAGTTTGTCTAGTTTGTTTAAGGTCACTTTGATTATCACTTATTATTTTCTGTATTATACCTATTTGCCCTCTTTTTACTTTGATTAAGTTAGTAGTTTTAGTTAATTATTTAGTGTAATTCCTCCTCTTATGTTCAGTTTTAGTTGGTCCTCATGTATTTAAACGCCCCTGTTCTTGGTCTGGTTGGGTTAGTTTTGTTCTGTTCGGTTTGATTTAAATTACCTCAGTTGGTCCCAGCTTTTTGTTCATGATTTACCTAATTTAAGCCTTTGTTAAATTACGTCTTGTTTGACTTTATTAAATTGAAACTTATCTTTATACCTTCCCTTTATTAAATCGAAACTTATTTTCATACTTTGTCTTTGCCTTTCTGTTTCTGTATCTTCATAGAGCCCAAACCAGACAAAGTTATAGGTCAGATCTATGGAGAGGCGACCCCGCTCACAGTCAGAATACCTCTTTTTTGAGCTATAAAACCACTTGTAATTGAATAAATGCAAGATAGTGCTTTTTAATGTCATACTGTTGAACATTTCAAGTAGAGCAATAACATATCCATAAAAACAAGCAGGTGAAGGACCCTCAACCAAAAAGTTATATAACACACCTTTAACTTCTTACATTTTAGTTATGTAGTGTATCTACTACTTCCCTATAAAGCAGTATGTGCCACCGCTCACTGCTCTTCATCTGACTAGTTTTGGATCACTGACTATAATCTGGCAAAATCCTCTCCAAATTCCTGACTGGATGAGCAAATCCCACGAGCTTTTCAGAACTAACTCATGATCCCAACTCTCTCCTTATAGGTGCACTATGTACTGTAACTTCTAAGGTGGAGGGTCTGCAACTTGCTTGTCTTCATGCAGATGTTATTTCTTTGTCAGGAATGTCCCATAGTAGAGCATTAAACATATATGTGTTGTCTTGGTTCAATTACAGGTGTTTTAGAGCTCAAAAATACCATGAATTCTTAACATGTGCAGGATTATTTCTCCAAAGATCTGACCATTAACCTGTCTCTGCTGTGATAACCAAAATTATTTCCATATTATGTTCAAATCAATCAAAGCAAAACAGTACTATCTCCATGGAGACAAGCAAGTGGCCAGCCCTCACTCAGAAAAGTTGCACAGTGCACCTTTAACAATAGGAGAGACATACCGTAAATTCGGGACTATAAGCCGCTACTTTTTTCTCACACTTTGAACCCTGCGGCTAATAAAACGATGCGGCAAATACATGGACGGATTATTTGTTTGGTAAATTGTCCGTTCATATATACGGTCTACGGTCTGGTTTGGCAACACAGCGGATACACGCAGCCTCAATGCAGAAAATGTCACCGTCTGTGCGGTTACACATGGATCTAGGGTTAACATGAAGTTGCTACACTAACGATATTGTCAGCGACTCAAATAGTTTATCGCCGTGTGATAAAATAAGTTATGATGCTAAATTAACATTAGTGAGGGGGATACGTCTTACCCGTAGGCGTAAATGATGAGAAAAAACGTCTCAAACTTCAGTAGCCGGACATCCACTTATACCTGATTGATAAAACTAGCCCTGCCCCCGAGAGAGTCTGAAATCTGCTGAAATCCTACGAGACACTGACACGATACAGACAGGACAGAGACTCTTTCTGCAGGAGACATGCACAGTAGAGCCTGAGGACAGATGATGCGTTGAGGAAGATGCTCGTTTGATTGAGTTTTGAACAGTTATTTTGCGCTTCATCCACACACCCTCTTCATGGAAAACACATGAAGAAATGCAGATAATGCCGCTTTTAAGTTAACGGCGATTGATGTGGCTGTCGAAGAAGGAAACAGAGCTGCTGCTGCACGTGAGCTCGGCATCAATGAGTCGATGGTGAGATTTGGCGACGGCAGCGTGACGAACTGACTCAATGCAAAAAGACGACAAAAGCTTTTAGAGGCGATAAAAGCAGACGGCCTGAACTTGAAAACGTTCTTGAAGACGTGGACACCTGCGGATAATATTCAAGTGCGGCCTATTTATGAACAATTTTAAAATTGTATTCAAATTTAGTTGATGCGGCTTATATTCAGGTGCGCTCAATAGTAGAGAAAACACGGTAAACACAAACCAGATCAAAAGGCATACTTAAACATACCTCATCTGATCCCGAGCCAAAGATCAGCAGGTCGAAGGGAATGGCCGCCACCATGTCAATAAGGAACCAGCCTTTGAAGTAGTGGATGGCTATTCTGGCCGGGTGACTGACCACTTCCTCGTTCTGATTCACGTAGGTGGTCCTGAAGTTGATGAGAATGTCGATGATGAACATAATATCCACTATGAGGTCCACCACGTTGAGAGGGTTACAGGAGTAGCCGCACTCCCGTCTCTTCTGGTCCTCTTGGTCGTTGAGGAGGAAGGCTGCGGAGTACGGGGTGAAGATGGCCGTGTATATGACCAGGAGCAGGATGAGCCAGTCCCACACGGCTTTGAAAGGGCTGTAGTGGAGGATGGTGAACTTATCAATGCGAGGGGTTTGAAGTTTGTATTCAGGTAAGACGTCGGCGCCCAGTGATAAGACCTGAGGGAACGGAGAGAGAAGACACAAAAATTAAACTATTTAATTAATGTAATTACTTTTTGTGATTTAGTAAGTTGACATATGGTTTTAACACATCTAAATCCGAAGCTCATGGTTATTCATACAGAACATATTACAAAAACTAAAACATGACACAGACCCATTTTGATATTTCTGTCTTAAGTTTGACTATTACACTTGCTTATCTACATGGAGATCCAATGTTCTTGGAAAGACATGTTCCACAGTATGACATTAAACTTACTGATCACCATAAAACCAAGCAGATAACAAAACCATGCTACAAGTCAGATCTGTGGAGACGCGAGCCTGTTCACTGTAAAAATGCAAGTATTTCAAGGCAAATTTGAGCCAAAAAAAACCAAACATTAACTTTTCCATAGCGTCAAGCAGGTGGCGACCCTCCAACAGAAAAGGTATATAGTAGGAGTGTAACGATATCCAAGTCTCATGATACGATATCCTCACGGTATCAACCTCACGATACGATATTTATTGCGATATCGTGGGAAAGCTCACGATATGGTGGGGAGGCTCACGATTAGGAATGTAACAATATCCAAATTTATCAGTACAATGTTTTCAGGATATACATCTCACAGTACGATATTATTGCAATATTTTGTGGAGGCTAAAAAACTCTGAATATGCTACTTTTTCCTCTTAAAATGCCTTGACAAGACTTAGTCCAAAGAACTAAGACTTAAAAGTGCTTAGAACTGTTATTTCTTCTTGTAGTCTAACCCGAAATGGAGCAAAGGATCATGGTCTATGTAGTTCTCGCTGTCTATTGCTGCACCATAACTCTTAATTTAAGCAAAGAGACTTGTATTTCGATATATCGTGACAGTCCACGATATTATTGTGAGAACTTTGATGATATTTTGGTTATTGCTACATCCCTAGTATATAATGCACCTTTTTAAATATGTAGTTACAAAAGACTGGGCTGTCAGTGGCACAGCGGCACATTTGTCCATTAACGATAGTTTTGCTGGTACTAGTATTGTGTCCCTTGGCATGACACTTAACCCATATCACCTAGTCACATCGCACAATGTATAGATGGCTGATAACAATCAACATTATAACTGGTTTTCAATGGTATGCTGTTCCAGTCAGAAAATAAAAAGTAATAGGTAAAAAAAAATATTCATAGCAAAACCACTGACTAACTTTTTCTCAACTACTGCTCTTAGGAAACCATTTTCATAAGAACTTCTGTCTTCTACTTTAGGCGCCATCGTCACAGAGGGAGGCCACAGAAGATAAATGGGAGAGTTAACATGACAATCAGTCAGAATCTGCATATAAAAAGATTATGTTTAAAGTTTAATAAGTCAAACTTGGATTTCTGAAGTGCTGCCTGCCCCAAATCTAGAATTAAACGTCTAAAGAGGTTAACTGCAAAGACAAAAGTTCCTTCTTGATACATGAATTTTCAGTCTGTTTAAATTTCATCAACTTATTTCACAAACATGACTTAGTGAAAAGATAAAAACCCCACCGGAGAAGTGAATATTTTAGAACTGCACCAATAAATAAAAACAAAACAATAATTAATAGCTATTATAAACCCACTGCACTGAATAAGATTTCTGGTGGAGTTTTTGCCACCTTCTTTTCTCCACACACATGTTAATAATTTGTGCAGAATGCTCTAAAGTGTGGCATTAAACCTTCCTATCTCCATGGGGACAAACACGTAAAGCCTTTAGACCAAGTTACAAGCCGGTTCTGTGGAAAAGCAACTCCACTCAGTAAGAAAGAAAGCATGTTTTAAAGGGTTTCTAAGCAACAACAAAAACAGGATATCCGCATTTTTGACTACCCCAAATTTAAGACGTTTTTAAGATCTTTTTAAGACCACTTAAATGAAAATTAAGACCAACATCGCACCCAATATGAGGGCGAAAAACACAAGATCTAATTCTAATAATGACCAGCCAACTACTTTATCTAGAATCTAAGAGCCACTGTGAATGAAACCGACACTTCCCCATGATCCATCCAACGTCTTCTTCCACTCTACTGTTCGTTTACTCATTGCCGCCGGCGCCAGAAACCAAAGTATTGTTTGCGCACACTCCAAATTAGACGTTAATTCACCTTACCTGATTACACGTTGTCTTTTTTTTCCTCATTCCATTTAACATTGCACTGCAGCCCGGTTGAGTTTCCAAAAAAATAATATAAAATTTAAGACCTTTGTGAAAAAAATAAGACTTGGACAACATAATTTCAGACTTTTTAAGGCCTTAATTTAGGAACATGAAATTTAAGACCTTTATAAGACCCCGCAACTACCCTGAAAAACACTTGTAATTGAATAAATGCAAAATTTATCATATTTATTGCAATACTGTGGAACATTCAAGGCAAAGCAGTGACATGGAATGGATTTGGCACACCCCCCCACTAGAAAAGTTACACAGAGCACCTTTAAGAGAGTTTTGAAATCATTTGCCCAAAGCAGCAAGTACAAACTGTCTATTTCCTTTTTATTTTTCTCTCAGGCTGAACCGTGTGAACCTTTTGGGAATACCAATTTGAACCGAAAACTACTTTATTTAACTACTTTGGGGCTATAGGAGGAAGTGTCACTTGCAAACTCACTGGCTTAAACTAATCCCGTTATATATACAGTGATTCTGTCTATATTTTCACTAGCGTACATTTGTTATTACCAAGTGTACTCCTGATGTAATATTCATATTTACATCTGAAAAGCGTGTTTAAAAGTGCGGCAGTCTTTAAGGACCAGTCTGACAGCTGCTAAAAGAGACAGAGTCAGGCAGCATTAGGCTTTGGTATGACACTGAGATACAGTATGTCCCGGATCATGAATAATGTGAGGGCTCAGCATTTATAGAGAGTACAGCGTGTTCTGAGGGAGAAATGAAGTACATCTGTAACACTATATAGACTGTAAATTGTTTAAAATGTGCACTTGACCTTCCACTGAAAAAGTTCCATAGTGCAACTGTAAAGCACAGTTTGCAACTTTTAAGCAAAAAAAACCCCAAAACATTCAAATAAAAGGTGTTTGTGTTTGTTGCACTGAAAAATACAGAAAAATATGTGTCCTTACTCTCAGCAGGCTTGCCTCTCCGCAAACCTGACTCTTATTTGGCTCAGAGGAAGGCTTTCTCTTGCTTGTTTCTATGGACATGTTGTTCCTTTGGCTATAAACTTCCACAGTTTGGCATAAAACTCATCTATCTCCATGGAGAATGTTCTATTTCAGTACTATCATGCAGTTAATGTGTCACCTTGAGAAAATTACATACTGTACCTTTAACTGTAACTTGCTCAGTAATTCAAAGGCTTTACAGAATGAAATACATTAAAATCATAATAAAACAAATCATATAATCATGAAGATTAAAATTTAAAAAAAGACATAAATTGGAGAGAAGAGTGCGGAATGAAAACCTTCAGTTATATGCTAAACAGAAATGTTGAGCCTGGATAAACAGCTCAGGCTGTCTCATGTTCAGGAAGACTGTTCAGTTTTAGCTGATGAACCTGAAACGCTGCTTGTTTTCTGACTCTGGGCACCCAGGAGGCGGTCCCTTCTCGAGTGTGAGATGGTTCATATGACTTGTCACAGATGGACTTTGGTGCTCGTTGGACTTGTACAAGCAGCTGCTTTAAAGTCTATTCTCTGAGCACAGGAAGCCAGTGCAGAGACCTGAGCACAGACTTATGTGCTCGTACTCTAGTTCATAAGGAAGCTGCAGCGTTCATGTTCTGCAGCGTCTCACATCGTTTGGAGAGACCATGAGCAGAATTACAGTATCTATCTACTGGAGACAAATGCATGGATAGTTTCTCCAAGTTGATTTAGACAGTCTTTGATTTTTCTATGTTTTTTAGATGCAGATGGTATTAATGTGGCTGTTAAAGTTCAAGTCTGAGTCAATTATTAAGATTTCTTGCCTGATTTGAAGGTTTTAGAGAGAGAACTGGAGGTGACTGCTGACACTGTCCCTTTGTTTCTGTGGACAAACACTATGACTTCAGTCTTAGTTTACTGCATCCACACACTATCTGTTAGTACAAGTAGTCCACTGGTCCTACAGTATACAGTAAACTACAGATACAGAAGGTGCGCAAATGTGTACTCAAGTAAAAGTACTCACTAGGGGTGTAACGATCTCCCAGTCTCATGATACGATATTGTCATGGTATGAACCTCACGGTACGATATTTATTGCGATATCGTGGGAAAGCTCACAATATGGTGGGGAGGCTCATGATTAGAAATGTAACAATATCCAAATCTCTCGATACGATATTTATAGAGATATTTTGTGAAGGTTAACGAAACTGTCAATATGCTACTATTTCCACTTAAAATGCCTTGACAACACTTACACAAAAAAACTAAAAGTGCTTAGAACTGTTATTTCTTCTTGTAGTTTGCATTGAAATGGAGCAAAGGATCATGGTCTATGTAGTTTCCTCTGACCTTTTTAGCTATTGCTGCACCATAACTCTTAATTTAAGCACAGAGACTTGTAATTCAATATATTGTCATGATCCACGATATTATCGTGAGAACTTTGGCGATACAATATCACGATATTTCGGTTATTGTTACATCCCTATTGCCCACATTTGTTTGCTTTTAAGTGTCCTGGATAATATAGCCCTGATACCTATTAAAATTTCAATTTGATTTCAATCCTATGGGGAAAACAAACATTTTAAACCTTTTGTTACCTCAGTGAGAGGGAAAAAACATTATTTTGTAGTGTTGATGTTCTAGTCATGTATGCAGTCAACTCAACCTAGAATAAAATTAATGTAATACAATTTGTTCATACTAAATCAACAGAAATTTAAGACAAGTTTTGATACTAAAGCATCGATCAGTACAGGTGATTTGTATATATTTTTGACAACCTTCTCTGAGGTTTAAGGATATCATGGGTTAATTTCTCTCTCTGATTGAAACCTTGATTGATTGTGAC